TAGTTTTTTTAAAGCCTTTAATAAAGTCCAACACCCGTTTTTATTTTAAAAAAAAGTATAGGAATAAAGAGACTTCCATAATATAGTAAATGGTGTCTATCTAAACCCCCAAATTGGTATTATTTGTAATAAAGAAACACTAGTGGCCTTTCCAGTAAGATCAGGGGTGAAGCCAGAATTCTGTTGTCACCACTGTAATTTGATTCAGGTCTAGACACAGTAGCTGTAGCAATAAGATAAAAAGAAATGTAGGGAACAGGCATGGGAAAAGAGGAAATGAGATTATTCTTTCTTGGAGACGATAGAATGACTTACTCAGAGAAAAAAACCTAAAGATTTAGTTAAAAAATTAATCAAAACAGTTAACTTCAACAAAGTAGAAAATTTTAAATGACATGCACACAAATTAACCTTTCCATATATGACAAACGAAAGCTAGCAGGAGGAGATAGAAAAGCATATTCCTTTTGACGTAACTGCAGAGAGTATAAAATGTCTGATGGACCATTTACCAAGACACACACAGGAATTATATAATATAAACACAACCACTAAGCATTCTTTACAGAAATAAAGGCAGGCTTAGTAATCATAGAGATGCTAATTGTACATGGTTAATATGTCAGTGTAATAAAAATGACAATATTTCCTAAATTAATTTAAGAATTAAGTGTCAAACCAAACTGCCAAAGAATTAATTGATAGAACTTGAAAAAATAATAACAAAGTTCCTCTGGAGGAACAAAAAGTCAAGAATCTCCAGGAAAATAATGAAAACTGGGAAGGGATGTGGGGGACAGTGGAAATATGGGACAGGTCTCCAATTATACTACAAAGCCGTAATCATCAAAACTCCGTAGTACTGGTGAAAACCAAAATTAATCAATAGAAGTCTTTGTTGTGTAAGACACAGAAGCAATTCAGCATAGTGTCAAGTATCATTGTGTTTGATAAACCCAAGACTAATTCCTAGGTTCAAGACATGCTCTTTGACAAAAGCTCAGGAAAAGCTGGAAGGCACTGTGGCAGAAACTAAGACGATGCCAGCATTTCACACCAAATGCTGCCGTTCTCTCCACATGGAGACGTGACCTGGGTGTAAACATGAAAATTAGAAGCTCTTGGAAAAGAATCTCTTCATAATAATGGAGACAGGATGAGTCCTTGATCAGACAGAAGATAGAGGGAATCACGGGATGTCATATGGAAAGCTTTAATTACATGAATATGAAAAACTTTGGCCCAGTCAGTGCAGGTGGAATTAGAAAGGGAAGCAACAAACATATATTAAGAGTCTGCTATGTGCCAGGCACTGTGCTAAACACTTAACAAATATCTCATTTGATCTTCACAATAACCCTATGAGGTAGTGCTATTATCCCCATTTTACAATTGAGGAAACTGAGGCGGAGGTTAAGTGAGTTGCCCAAGATCATACAGCTACTAAGTGTCTGAGACCAGATTTGAAATCAGGTGTTTCTGACTCCAGGAGCAGCACTCAATCCCCTGTACCACCAACTGCTTTAGTTAACTTTTCTCAATCGACTAAGAAATCATCTGTTCAGCAAACTTCTCTAACAGAAGTTTTCTGTGAAAAATATGTAAAGAGCCATTCTCCAATCCATAAAGGTCAGGATGCAAACAAACCAGTAGTACATAGAATCAGTTTGCAGAATTGGCAGTGGAGTGGACATGTAGTGTGAGTGAGGGGGAGGATTTGAGGACGCCACGGAGCTCACAGAGCTGGGCAGCCAGCCTTGTCCTCCTCCGGTCGTTCTTCTGTGGCCGCCTAGGAGTCCTGCTTTATTGGGCAGCCTGACTAGTGGCATATCACACAAGCTTCTCGAAGGCAAAAACGGCACCTCCATCTACCCGCTGTCCATCTCATTGCCTTCTTCTTGGCCTGTGTTAAATGCTTTGTAGGAAGAGATGCTTCTGATTCTAATGCTTTTTATAATGAGAAAACGGCCTCCTGGCTTCCCCCAATCCTCCCTGAGAGACCATGTATTGTGCGTGGCTCTAGGAAGGAGTGGCCTCTTGGGGAGTGCCCACCGAGCCACTTTCTGTCTTTGAGGTCAAGTTACCTGTGCTAGCGGTAGAGCGAGGGAGGGACAGAGGGAGAGGGCCAAGAGAAATTCTCTGTGGAGAGCCTGAATGTCCTTTAGTCTTGTCTTGTGAAGGGACACGATGGGGAGAATGCTCAGGTGTTTTGGCTGCTCTCTGGAGAGAGCCAGAGGCAGAATAGAGGGGGTCAGGGGAGACTTCAGTTCTCAGCAGGACCCTCCCCCCCCAGGTGCGTAGTGGTGGTTCTGCCTGTGCTCGTACACACGCCCATCGTCTGCCCCAGAGAAGGCCCACCTCAGGAGCTTAGCTTGCCGTCCTGGGAGCTGGGGCTGAGTCCTGAGGATCAGCTCGTTTTTGTCTTTGCCAGATCAGTGTTCTTACAAATGCCTTCTAAGTGGCTATTTATGTCTTTGTTTTATTGTTGGATATACTGGTCATACATTGCTTAGCTATTGACTGTTGACTTGATGTGTTTTTAAGCCTGATGTCCCATGGATAGAAGCCTGTCCTGGAGTTAGGAAGACTTGAGTTCAAATCCAACCTTAGATACTTACCAGCTAGGTGACCCTAGACGAGTCACTTCACCACTGCCTGCCTCAATTTCCTTGTCTGTAAAATGGGAACAAAAATAGCATCTATCTCCCAGGGTTGTTGTGAGGATCAAATGAAATAATGTTTGTAAAGTGCCAGACACATAACAGGCACTATATAAATTTTAGTACATATATATTTTATATGTGTATATATATATATATAGAAATACACACATCAAAATGTGTACGTGTATATAGAAATGAGAACAAAAGCTTATGGTAAAAGATTTCTTCAATTTGTTGAATAATATTTAATAAACTAGGTAGGGCTCAGAGTGAATTGATAACTAGTAAAATAAATTTTGTCATCTTAGTAACTTATGAGAAAATGTAAACATAGATCTTAATTGCCTTAGAGCCCTGGATCAATCAATCTGTCCGTTGTAAGCATTTATTAAGAGCCTACTGTGTGCCAGGCACTGAGCTCGATAGGGGATGCAGACACAGAGAATGAGATGTCCCCCACCACCCTGGAACTTACCTTCTCCCTGGTGTGCTTAAGTAAATGGCATATGCAGAACAAATACAGTAGTTTGAGGTAGTTGAATGTCTGGTATCTGAGAGGCGCAGGAAAGGCGCTGAGGAGACACATGAGCTGCTGGGGGCGGGGAGGGGGCGTTCTGTGTGCCTGGAGCCGCCATACCCCCGGAATCCATTCTATGTCTGCTCTTCCTTCAGTTAATCCAATGACTCGGGTTGTGTTCTGCTGTAGGGAAGGGAGGTTGTGCAGAAGCCATGGCCTTCTCACCTGGAGCGCCCCCAGTGGATGCACAGGCCCATGTGTGCGAGGTGGGAGGGAAGCCCCTTGTCAGCCTCGCCGAGGCTCCCCTGGGAAAGAACATGGAGGGCATCTTGTCCAGCCTCCCGTCCCCTCTGGCCCTCCCCAGGGTGCCAGCCCCCCAAACTCCAGCCTGTGGTCTGCTCTCACTGGAAGAGTGAGGGCTGCCGGTGGTGGGGAAACAAGGGACAATGGAGGAGAAGCTCCCCCGACCCCGCGCCCCAGGTGTGGCCCACTTTTCCTCGTGTCTGCCCTTCCTTCTGCTTCTTCAGGTCGACAGCAGCTTCCTCATAGGGCCACGTGGGGTGGTGCCCCTCACTTCAGGTTGTCCCATCTCCTCTGAATTCTTGAAACTCACAGATGCTGGAGAAAAGATGAATTTCACAAATCCTGTCTATTGGTGTTTTCGGTCTTTATGACAGTAACTGTAAATCCTGCCACTGACATTCACTCCTTGTGTACATGGGCAGCTGGGAGGCACAGTGGATAGAGTGCCAGGCCTGGAGTCAAGAAGACGTAAGTCTTCTGAGTTCAAATCTGGCCAGAGACAGTTACTAGCTGTGTGACCCTGGGCAAGTCACTTCACCCTGTTGGCCTCAGGTTCCTCATCTGTAAAATGAGCTGGAGAAGGAAATGGCTGAGCACTCTTGTATCCTGGCCAAGAAAACCCCAAATGGGGTCACGGAGAGTCGGACAGGAGTGAAAACTGAACAACACCCACACACGCCTCGGTGAACAGTCCTGGACCAGGCACTTGGCCACGTGTGTGTCGGTTTCCTCCCAAGGCCTCGTCTTCCAAATTCCTGGTGAGCCCTGGCCCTCCCAGTGGGGAGCGTCTACCCCCGGAGCTCCTCATCTCTCTGTGTGCGTCGTAGTAACTCAGAGACCATGAATCCTCCATTTCGGTGAATTGGACGGGCGTGGGCATTTTTTTTCACATTTGCCCACATTGAGAGAGCTCCGGTCCCACCTTCATCGACGCCGTCCCCTCGTTTTCACCCAGCCTCCATTATGTCCAACTTGAGCCATTTTTCACGTTGTTTTAATTTTATTCAGGTCGTTTCCTGGTAGACCCTAGTGAACAGGGTCACCCTGTAGAAGGACGGAAGGCTGAGAGCGTCTGAGCAGGAAAGGGGCTCTTTTTTCGGTGTGCTGCCCTCTTGTGGCACCGTCGTCAGCCATTCCCACTTGTAATTGCTGGATTAGTGAGCGAGTCCCCACTTCAGGCGTTCAGAGATTCCAGGGTCTGCTTTGTGGAGACTGATGCTGCAGCGGAGAAGAGGGCTTGTGGCCTTAGTGTCACATTCGGCTCAGAAGTTTTGGATGTGATTTTCTACCGGGTGCCTCTACCAGAACAGTCCCGTGCCCTCCCCTAGGCTAACGGCCCAGCCGTGGCCCGGGCCAGTGACGGGGAGGCAGCCTCCGGCGGGACCAGCTTTCTTTCTCTGTACTTCAAAGTCAAGTGGGGTTGGTGGTTGCCTCCTAGAAGCTGCCGCCGTTGCCACTCTCAGTGTGGAGGGCGAGCCGGAATGTGGCGCTCACGGTGCCCTGTGCTCTGCTTTCAGGTTCTTCGGTCCCTCCTGCTGTTTCCAACGATAGAGAAAATCGCTAAAACGCCCAACGGCCGGGTGGCAACTCCTCTCCTCTGCTGGCTGCGCTACGCCCTTTACGTGCCCATCTACATCGGACTCAGCCTGCTCCCAGCGAGAGTCCAGGCCATCTTGGCCAGTCTGGTTCTTCGGAGGCTGAAAATAGAGAATGCAGTCACATCTCGGCATGTAATGAATTCACTCAACATGGACTGCATTGGTGAGCAGATCATAAAGGGTTTTTGTTGTTGTTACGTAGTGTGTGTGTGTGTGTGTGTGTGTGTGTGTGTGTGTGTGTGTGTGTG